TCACCAAGATGAGAAAATTAATGTAGTCCACTTCATTGTCTGCCTAGGGAACTTTCCATCCAAAGGAATTATCTTTAATCTCCTCAGGGAAAGATGAAATCTGCTCACAGAAAACCTAGAAGACATTTACAGCATAGTTGTGAGGCAGGCAGGAATATATATCTCCACAACACCAAATGGAAAGAAATGGCAAAAATCTCTCACTTTTTGTAACTGAAGTATTTACTTCATAAACAAGTTTAATTTCATTATAGACAATTTTTCATGACAGTCCCTTCATACTGAAAGGAAAAGTGGCACTGGCATAAATAAATAACAACACTGTTAGGATTTTCACTGTTAATACAAGACCACAGTGGAGCTTGAGGTTGTGGGTGTTTTTTGGGGGGGGGGGGGGGGGCAAATTCTATCATGGAATTCAGACCACAGCAAAGGCTAGTCTACTAAAATTGTCTCTTTGTACCCCTCTAAATCCAACTCAAGTGCAAAATTATGTTATGTTGATTTTAACATTTTAAAAAAAATATAAAAAAACTAAGTGAAAATAAAACCTGATGTCTAAGAAATATAGGAAATATATGCTGTTATATTTTATCTTTTGAAAAGCATGCTAAATTAATCCTCATTACTGGTTGAATCCTGAGTAGCTATCAACACAGGTCGTATGCATTTGAGTTTATCATTTTAAGTAAATGATAAGTGGTATTAAATTATAAAATTACCATTTGACTTTATCATTACCATCATCATAAACCACTAATGGAAAAGGAGCATGTGACATGAAATTTGGGCTTGAAGTTTTTTGACATTAGGTGAAATCACAATCTCAACTACAAATGTGGCTGGAATGAAAATATAGCTTTAGCATAACTAGCATCAGAATTAAAATAGGAACTATCATGGTAAAGTTGGTGTTTAGAAAAATAAGAAACAAAAAAAATGATAGCTAGAGACAGATTTTTAAAAAATAGAGACTGTGATATAGTCATTGTTGACCTCTGTAACTTTCTAGACCAGTGGTGTCAAACTAGATTTCTTTGAGGGCTGGGTCAGCATTGTAGTTCTCTGTGCGGGGAGGGAAGGCCGGGGAGTGAAAAAGGAGATGGGACAGATGCTTCCTGCATCACCCTGCTGGCCAAAATAGGACACGCTCCATTTTCAGCCTCCCTGGCCTCCAGCAGCACTCTCCTGGCCAAAAATGCACTCCGTAGAGGCTCTTTTTGCCTGGCAGAAGGCTGGAAAGGCTGAAAATGGGCCACGGGGGGGGCTGCATGCGCCCCCATTCTGCAGCCATTTTGGCTGGCAGAGGCACCACAAGCCAGTCCTTTGATATTTCCGGCCGGCCCAGCGGGCCAGATTTAAGCACCTTGTGGGTCTTGAATTTGATAACCCTGGCTTAGACAGTACCTGCACTTTTCTTGCAAAGATTTCAAAAGTGGTTTGTCATTTTCTCCTTCCAAGGGCTGAGACATAGTGAATAGCCCAAGGACATTGCTGGCTTTTTTTTCTAAGGTGGAACTAAAACTGCAATTTCTTACCTGATGTCTACTTGTATGTAAGATTACCAGTGCTTGAAACAAAAAAACAAGTCTATGTGGACATCTGATTGGTTTTTGATTTGTCAGTATTATCTGTGGATACAAACCATCATGCATCAATGAATAATGTTAGGCTTACATGGACATGATTGCTATTTAATAGGTGTCGTGTTATTGGGTAGCTTGTATATGTGATTGAGCTATTAAAATGTTGGTATTACTGAGAGTTTTAAGACTTCCATACCACATCCGTACCACTTCAAATAAAATTGTTTTTCACTGCAGAGTAATCACATTTTAAAATGCCAGTCACCAAGTATGCAATAGGTAGAAAAATTAAGAGGGTTAATTATGGTAATAATTTATATGAGAAGAGTACATCTTCCTTCCCCTATCATCATCACTTTCTATAGAAAGACTATTGAAAGCATCCTATCATATTGTGTTACTATGTGATTTGGAAGTCTTACTGTTTCAGACAGGAAGGCTGTGCAGAGAGTGGTGAGGATAGCATAAAAGATTATTCACTCCCTTTTGTCCAGGACATAGCTTGACCAGAGTGTATCTGGTCTTCTACCTATTTAGAGTGTATGGTATTGTCAGGATCACTGCACATCCTTTCCATGACTGGTTTTCTTTGTTACCTTCTCAGAAGAGGCTTCATGGTATCCAAAGCAAGACAAGTAGATTCTGCAATAGCTTTGTACCTTATAGTATCAACCTTGTTAATACTCAAGACTCTTTTTTCTGCTTTGTATTCAAATGGACTATAATTGTTATACATGTGTGTCAGAGGTGATATTCAGCAGGTTCTGACCAGTTCTGGAGCGGAAATTTTGAGTAGTTCAGAGAACCAGCAATTTTCACCCCTAACTAGAGATTTTACAGTATCCTTCTCCTGCTACACCCAGCAAGCCACACTCACAGAACCAGTAGTAAAACATTTTGAATCCCACCACTGATGTGTGTGTGTGTGTGTCTGTGTGTGTGTGTAGGCATCAGAAATTTAATTTTTAATGTGTGCCAATGTGTTCACAGAAAAAAGTGACAATAAATGGCTTCCAGTGGTGCTTCCATCGATGATGGATCGGACACCGTGATTGTGCGTGGCTTCGATCAGTGTTTACCTTGTTGGAGGGTACCAAACAGGACCGGATCCACCTCAGAGGGGTGGAGAAAGAGGGAGAGACTGCCAGCTGGGTCAAGGGGAGCCGCATCTCCCCTCCCTGGCTAGGCATACTCCCCTTGAAGACAGGAGTAAGTGGCAGTCTTTAATAGCTGCCCTGAAGACAGGAAGCCATTTGGGAAATAAGATCATGCTGGAGTGGAGAAGAAGCAGGCAGCATGGAGACCAGGAAAACTAGCTGACATATGGATACTAAAGTACCCTGGAATTAAGCTAAAAAGAAATTTTAAGAAAGAAAAATAGTAAAAGCGGCGACCAGAGAAAGTAGGGGGGATATTGACATCTGAAAGTGGCTTTGAACTTTGAAAGGAGCTAAATTCTAGGAGGAAGCCAGAAGAAGATACTTGTTTAAATTGAACAAATATATGATTTTGGCACTAAGTAGGCATAATTAAAAGCTAAACTTGAATGTGTCAAAAAAAAAAAAAAAAAAAGAACAGTAATTGATAATTGGATTTATTGGATATTTGAAATTTAAAAGCCCTAAACAGAGAAAAGAAAGGAGGGGGGGGGGAGAGTGGAACTTGGACATAACAGAGAGTGCCACCTAATGGTAAAGGAAAAAAAAATAGTGACTCTTTAAAAAATGCCTGGTTCTTTCAAAGTAGAATTTGATAAAAAATAAGAGAAACTTTGTTACAATAAAATAGAAACCCTAAGTGAAAAGTGAAAACATAGAATATCAAAATAAAAGAAAGAAGCGTGAAGAAATTACTCTAGGACTGTTTGGTGATTTTGTCATAAACTTAAACTTATGGATATTGGAATGTTTGATGATCTTGGAAAAACTTAAAGAAGATTTAATAGAAGTTCATCGTTGGAAAGAAACATCAAAGACACTGCTTGAATTAAATTACTGGACAATTGATTTGGATTTAAAGACGAAAAAAAGGGATAAAGAAAATATAAAAGAAGTGTTTAAAAATGGCAGAAGTTTTTTTGGAACTAAAAATGGAATTAAGAAATATGAAAGAAATGTTACATGAAAAAGGTGAGTCGTACTGTCTAGCTTTACAGTCATTAGAAAAGGCAATTCTGGAGTATGAAGAACAACAAGGAGTGCCAGAAGGGGAGGAGCTAATTAAAGAAGAAGCCAGCTACAATGAACAATGAATATTAAAGCAAAAGAGAAAAAGAAAGGGAATTAAAACTTGGAGCACTTAGCACTTAGACTTTATATACTGCTTCACAGTGCTTTACAGCCCTCTCTAAGCAGTTTACAGAGTCAGCATATTGCCCCCAACAATTTGGATCCTCAGTTTTACCACCTCAAAAGGATGGAAGGCTGAGTCAACCTTGAGCCTGGTGAGATTTGAACTGCCAAATTTCAGGCAGCTGGCAGGCAGCAGAAGTAGCTTACAGTACAGCACTCCAACCACTGTACCAGCATGGTTCATGATTAAATGGTTAAATGTTATGTACCCAAATAGTTTCAAAGAGATTTTTGAAAACATATTGCAACCTATTGGCATATAATTTATGTATTTTATTTAGCCACACTTCTTAAAAACAGATTCTTAAAGCAGTCACTTAATATTAAAGGAAAACAACTGCAATTAGAACTTAGTCTTCAGACAGGAACTTGGTCTTGATTCATCAGAAGCTCTGTATCAATTCCTTCTAAATTGTTTTTTGTGGCTTCAGTGTTACTCATAAATGGCAAAATTGACTACTCTGCTTAAAAACAGCAACATAAGTACTTTTATTTCCACGTGGAAACTGAATTTCATGTTTGATATGGAAAAGAATGAAACTTTGATTCTGGGTTTTACAGATTATACTGATAGACTTTTGTAGAAATGACTGATTCATACTATTATGGTAAAACAAAAAGTTGTGATTTGTTTTTAATGTCTTATTCTACTGTAACAAATAGAGTCAGAAGTCAATTCTTCTTTTTCTTTCCCTACCCTTCATTACTTTCTTTGCCCTTTCCCTCTCCCTGTCCTCTTATTTACTTTTGTATTTTGTATTTTATAATACTTTATAACCCAATAAAATGTATTAAAAATGTTTTTGTGTTACAACATACCATAATTGCTATTGGGCCCTCAGCGAGATCTTGAACACACTCTGAATCAAATCATCTATCAGATAGATAGATAGATGATAGATAGATAGATAGATAGATAGATAGATAGATAGATAGATAGACAGACAGACAATCCATTTACTTATTTATATTACATTATAAATAATGTCATTCCTCCAGTGACTTTATATGAACATAACTTTTTTCCCTTTAATTTCATTGTTTTCTTCTCATTTTTATTCAGGCACTTCTGTCATTCAAGTAACAGCAACTGATGCTGATGACTCTAACTATGGCAACAGTGCCAAAATTGTATATAGCATCCTCCACGGTCAGCCATATTTCTCTGTGGATCCAGACACAGGTTAGAATATCCGTTGACTTGCTTTGTTCTGGTTGTCTGAGTTTTGCATTGTTCCAGTGATGTTCCAGAACTGACAGTTTTAAGGAGCTTTTTCAAATGTTTGCACCTTTTGTTTTGAATGATTTATTCAAATACTGTTGTACATTAAGTGTTGTACCTGATGATTCTTGAGTCTTGACAGATGTATCTTTTCTTTTATGTATACTGAAAGCATTTGCACCAAGACAAATTCCTTGTGTCCAATCACACTTGGCCAATAATTCTATTCTATTCTCCATGCTTGTTCAGCTGGAATGTTCACTGTTAATTTCAAGATGTGGGGTGGAATACTGTTGGGCAAAAATGTTAGTGTTTCTTCTTAGCTTGGAGATGGAGGTAAGCAAAATGAAAAAAAAAATTCCTGGTGTTTTTTTTCTGGAACAATAGTTTGTCAACTTTGAGACTTCAACAAATGCCAGCCTTATCAGTCTGTTTAACTGGCTGTGGAAACCATCTCTTAGATAAGCCAAACTGAAAACTTTCCATGAACTGCAGGAGGGCAGCTGATTCATCAACCTGGTCCTCTGGCGTAATTTGCAAATAGTTTACATGAGCATGGTGATTGTGAAGCTACAGTTGCTGGCACATAACCCAATTCTGAGCCAGTTCACTTAAAAATGTAAAACTGCTTTATATATAATGATGTGGGGGGAGGGGGGGTTGGGGGGGGCAAAGTAAGAGAAGTTTCAGTAATAGCAAACATGTTAATATTGGCTTTTACATGGTGAATTTGTGCATTGCTCAGTCAGCATAAAGATAATGAAAAGGATAATATGGAGAAGGTGGATAAGCATATTGTCTCTTTCCTTGTCGCCACAAGTCCCATGTTTTATTTTCACCCTGAGTATTAACAATGATCTAGAAAGGAACTGTTCACATGCAACAAGGACAACATTACATTGATAAGTTGATAAGTTGGATTGTGCCATTATGGTTATTGCCACATTTTCTCTCCTCTATAATACATTAGTACAATTCTCTTTTCTCATGTGATAGTGTAACGTTTACATGCAGGATTGATTTAGAAAGTGCTTTTATATATTGAAATGATACATCTGCTACATATCTAGATCTAACTCCTCTGGGATTTTGGAGAAGATTGTAAATGCCTATATTAAAATTTGCTTTTAAATCTCTCTGTCTGTCTGTCTGTCTGTCTGTCTCTCTTTCTCTCTCTCTCTCACACACACACATGCACGTGCACACACACACACACACAAGCATACCTTTTATTCTAACATACGTAGCCATTTTAGCTTTGCTAGAAAGATAATTACATTGATTTTAATGCCAGGCTAAAAATAATGTGAAACTCCCCACCCTCCCTTTTTTCCCCTCACTGTAACATTAAGCTGGACAAATCCACTTTAATACTCTTTTTCATATTTCCTTTTGCTTCTGTTCTCCATTTTTACCCACAAGGTATAATCAAGACTGCTTTGCCAGATATGAGCCGAGAAAATAGAGAACAATATCAAGTGGTCATCCAAGCCAAGGATATGGGAGGCCAGATGGGTGGATTATCAGGAACCACCACAGTGAATATCACCCTGACTGATGTCAATGACAATCCACCTCGATTCCCTCAGAGTATGAAATATTTAATAATTCTGTTATCTTCAAAAAGTCGCTATATTCTTTCACCATCTGTGACAGTAATGCAAGTGAATTGATACTGCAACTTTTTAAAGTTGTACCAGAATTAATATCTGTGTATGTCAAAAAAAAATTCTTGCTTTAAACTAAAGCTTTCAAATTGGGGTATTTTATCATATGAGACTGAACAATTTGAAATGCTAAAAACACAATAATCTTTTTTTACTTGTAACATGTTCTACTTGTCAGTGTAATGAGTGCTGTAAACACTTGGTTATGTGTGATTTGAGTTTTTTCTATTAATTGACCTGAAATGGAAGCGAAATGTTCCTATTTTTGTAGGTATCAAAAAGTTTTTGTGCAACTGTGCTTGATGTTTTAAATGTCTTGTGAATTAATCAGACAGAATGGATGTTAGAAGGGATGATGTTAGAAAATTGTCTCCATTTTCCAGAAGAGTTAGGGGTAACAGTGCATCTGAAACTGCCACTCATAAAAACTAGAAAATTTATCCAGCATGGTCAAGGAACAACCAACACAACTAACCTTGCCAAGAATTGTCATTTTTTTTCCAAGTTCATCATCCATACTTATCACAGACTCAATGAATATAAATCCATGTGCTAAATAAGCAAAACTAAATGCAGGCAATCAACAAATCATATTTTCATATAGAAAACAGTACAGTCATGAATGAATGAATGGGGAAATAGTGTGTTGCCCTTTACTGTTTGGTGCATCAAATTAACTGGTAGGAATAATTATGAATGATATAACCTATTACTGATATTCCACAGGTTTTAATAATCATAGACTACAGGTAGCCCTCAACTTATGACCTAAATTGAACCCAGAATTATGGTTCTAAGTCATGGCAGTTGTTAAGTCAGGTGCCTACATTTAGATTTCCACATTGAGGTCATTACTTGGGGTGCAGGTTGTCACAGGGAGGGGAAGGCCCCAGGAGTCCCTGGCACAGGCCCATTCTGCAGCACTTCCCCAGCTCATCCATGGCTAACAGAGTCTTCCCAATCCCCTAAAATACCTTCACATTGTATCCCATACACTTGGGCCTCTCCCCTCATCACGTCTCACTCTATCGATCTTTACTGAATATCCTCTTTCCAAAGGGGAAGCAACCAATGCACTGCTCAGCCTTCCTCTACAGATGTCATGTGGTAGCATCCCAGAAGCAGGCATGATTTTGGAAGCAGGCACAGTTCTCGCAATCTGAGAATTGTGGTCACTCCCCAAAATGGTGCCTATTCCAGGATAGCATGAAATACTTGTGTAGGACAGTCACATGGCAGATTGGCTGATTGTCTTTCAGAAAAAGAAGCAGGTGTTCCATGATCAATTGAGGAAAGATGAGCTAGAAGAACATTTATTGGTTCACTATATTTGCAATGCGGCTGGAGAATAAAACCACTAACTTGGAATTAAATGAGAGCTGGGTCAATCCAATGGGGTGACTGAAGTTGGGATGGGATAACTCACCATGATCAACTCACTATAACCAACTCACCACAGGAAAAATCTGTTTGGGACAATTGAACAGAAAAGTTAAATTAATTTTGATGGAACTGTGTCCAATAATAATAAAATAAAGTCAATCCAGAAATATAAGAGTTACAATAATTTTGATGAAAATTATAAAGGTATCTGAATGAAAGATACTTTGTAAAGAGGCAACTGGATTTGTTTTTCTTTGAAGACATTTCAATTCCCATTCTTCAGCTCTGACTGGATGGTGGGGAATGGAAGGATTTATATTCCTTGCATACAGTTGGCCATTTGCATTCTTTTATAGAGTTATTGAGGCCACTTGGAGGTTTATCTGTGTTCTCAGGGTCACCTGAGTAGTGCAAATGGGTGTGGAGCCTTCTTGGAACTGTTGAAAGGACTATGTTGTGGACTTGTGCTTTCTGCAGGATGTTTCTGCCCTATGTTCCTTCACTGTTGAACACACGCAAAGGCTGTGGGGATGAGTCTGTGTTGTCTGCATCTCAAACTGAAGTGCAAATGGTCCTGTAGTGTGCACTTTTTCCTGGAAATCTGTGTTTTGGTACAACCATGACCCAGATGACTGAGAATCTCCATAGACATTCACCTATGAACTTTGGGATGAACAACCTTTGAATGGTGCAGGAATATGAATGGATTTCCAGAAAAAAAAATGCAGAATACAGGACCATTTGTGCTTCAGTTGAGATGCAGACAACATAGACTCATCCCCACTGCCTGTACCTGTGTTCAACAGTGAAGGGACACAGTATTTCTCCACCCAATGTAATCTATTTTTCTAGATAACTGATCAAGTGCTATGAATTCCTATATTGATTCATTATTGTTTTCCATCTAATTTTCCTCTTTAAAAAATCAATTTAAGTGTTGGTTTTCTATATGTTTACAGGGTTTCCATAGGAAATATTGTTGGGAAATACTTTTTTGTAGTTATTTTTTACAATCATGGTTTTAATAATAATATGCATCTTCTTTAGTTCCAAGATACCATAGCATTGCAAAGCATAAGAAGTTACATTGCTTCATGTATAAGGTTCCTATAAACAAGGTCAAATTACTGCAGTTGAGCTATGAGTCAGGCTGCATAGCAATGTGATTCCAAAATGTCACATATCGTAGAACATTCTGTCCACTAATTCTAGTCTGAGTTCATTTTTTATAACACTTGTGTAATATGAGTATTGATTTTCATTCATCATTTGGGTAAGAGGTCTACTTAAGATGCAGGGATGTGACAGAGTAATCAAGCAAGCAAGCTGTGGAACTCAGAGCAAGGTGATATGCTGTAAAATGTATGCTACTTGGTGGCAATATCATAATGAGAATGAAAGCATCATAATGGAAGAGGAAGTGTTTGGTAATGATTTTTCAGCTCTTATTATTTCCTACAGAATGTATGTGGACAAAGATATATAGTAAACCTTCACAATGATATATTTTAATTACCATCTGCTCTAATGTATTTGCAGTTCATCAACAAATAAATAAAAACAATTGTACTGTAATATTAGCATAATATTAAGAAATATTGAATCCCGTGACTTAGGGCAACCATATCTGGGCTGCAAATAGTCAAGATAACTACTAGATAGGAGCAAAGAGGAACAGAAAATCATTACTGTCTTTTTATGACTATCTGGACTTTTGCAGGCCAGATAAACTTGCCTTAACTAAATTTTCATGCATTAAATGGCATGAGGTATTTCTGAAGACAACTAAGGCCAATAATTCTCAAGATTCCATATCCAACATCACATCAATCTATCAAACAGAATTCTGGGACTTTCAAAGATAGAAACAATATTTAGGAGTTTTTTAGTTTTGTTTTTTAAAGAAGAACATAACTTAATTTGACACAATCATGAGTCAGATAACTATAATGGAGTTGAATTCACTCCTTGTTTTTCAGTACCATGCCCAATTATCACCTCTGCCCTAGATGAAAAATAATAGGTTGTGAGAGAATAAGTTGGAGGATAAAAAGAGTGGTGGGTGAGGAATTAAACATTAGCATGAACAAAACATCCACAACTATATTTGAATCATTAATCAGATTCATTCAATTCATCAAATCAATCTTGATTCAATAATCTCTCTTTATCTCTCTCCCCTCCCTCTCCATCTCCATCTCCCTCTCCCTTTCCCCCTGTCTCTAATGTGTTTATGCATATGATCAAAAATATACCAATTTTCTGAATCAAAAATTCTGAATCAAATAGAGCAGAAAAAATGGTTTGTCATCATTCTTTTTATATATTCCACCTAGGTGGGGGTAAAAATTCCTGAAAGCATATTATGTCATTTCACATTAACTGTGACTCTCAGGTTGCCAAAGTTAGTTACATTCCAAATTTTTCTGTTTATGCAAAAACAACATAATGTGGTTTTGCATTTTGATCCAATAATTAAAGTGTTGTCCTTGCCACTTAAAATATATCCTTGCTTATTAAATGATTACTGTATCAATATACCTGTGACTGTCTAAGCAATGTGGGAACACAATTAATAAATGCATCCTGATTTGGCAAGTCTTTTTCTCTCTTTTTTCACATCTTACCTGCCTAGTTATGATCCTGGATTGTCTGGGCTCCCTGCCTCAGTTTGGATTGGAGCCATTCTGAAAATGCTTCTATTAATTCTATTTGTACAGGTGTGACATTTCAAAATTGGATAGATACACATACTTCTCCCAAAACTAAATTTTCCACCAACAGAGACATGGCCAGTGATTATTTTAGATTTTAGACATTGGTTTGGAATCACTTAGGAGTTGCTGACCTTGAAATAACAGTCAGAATATTAGTGACAGACAACAGATGGACAGCAATTATAGAATTTATTTTCCACACAATGGGAAAATATGTTATCTGGAGAGGATTATCATACAGTTCCTGGTATATACAATATATCCAGACTCTTCCCATATACTCTTTTGCTAGTTAGTTTCAGTATTACTCAACAAGTTTAACTTAAAATAAAATAGCTATAAAAGGGAATCAGCAAAAAAGTTCAGTTCAGCAATATGAATATCTCCTTACCTTTTTCTCTTAAAACATTTTTGTTCAGTCTGTCCCAGGGAACAAACACCCAAATAGAATAAACATGCTAAATTATAGTTAGCAAACTACAGTAGTTGCTAAATTAAATCAAATCACCCAGAGCTTAAAGACCATGATTTCTTGTTTATTGTATTATGACAGCTTATATGAATGTGTAAGTAACAGAAAATGGCTGGGATTACCCAACAATACTATCACAGTATAATTAATGATGATTTATTGAATAAAGTTAATTGGATGGAATTGCACCACATGCTAAATCATAAACCACAATATAGAAACCACAATGTCTAGCTCTATCCAAAATACTAAGCCAAACCAATTACCTTGGTCAGGATAGAAACTAAATGGGCTTTCATTTTGATATTCTGGTAGATGTGACATGATGCCATGATACAAATGATGTGAATTTGCAATCTTTAGTGAAGTGACATAGTTACAGATATAATAGTCCCCCCTCCCATTCCCCTATGAAGTAACTGGCTGGTAAATTTCTTCATGCAAATACCTTTGGCATCTACCAGCTGCAAAAAAGTGAATGGAAATTGGCAAAATTGTAGTAAACAACAGAGGCAATGTATATATGTGGTTATTTGGAAAATGACTATTTGCTTCTGTAACAGAAAAATGCTGACAACAGACTTTGTTTCCTAGTGCATTTCTGATATACTGAAAACAGGTAATTGGTATCTTGTATGCTAATTTAATCTCCTCCAAAAGCAGTATTTCTCAACCATGTCAACTTTAATGTCTAGACTTCAGTTCCCAGAATTCCTCAGCCAGCATGCCAACATCTTAAATTTGCCAAGGTTGAGAAATACTGCCCTAAAGAGTTCTTTTCCCATACATAATATACTTTATATCTCTATTTTTATTATATTATAATCTACCTAAAATCACCCAAAACAGTTAAATGAGTGGTATACAAATTTATTTATTAAATAAATGCATACTATCTTGTTCAAAGCTGTTATACAATATGCATGATATTTAGAATAAATTGTTCATTTTATTTTGGGGAGAGGGGAAAAAGTGAGTCACTTTTCTTTTTTTAAAAAGAAAAAAAATCCTTTGGTGTATCAACATTTCATCAGATTTTCTTTAAGACAGCACATGCATTTGTCAACATTGATTGAAGGCTGTTTAAGTTTTATCTCTTGCCCACTGAAATTCAAACTCAAAAACCTGATGGTGATTACAATAGTTTAAACTGTCATTCATTCACTATGCAAGCACAAGTTGAATTAAATTTGTGATGTAAATATATGTAGAAAAATACAGATTGAGGATTCCTATTTATGTTTTAGCATTCATTAAATTATTCTGCTGTACCTGATCAGATATCTGGCAGTAATTCAGTAATTCAGGACAGCTTACACTCAGTATGACTTATTTCTAGGTCAGACAGAATGTGGGGCAAACTAAAATGATAGAATTCAAACTTACTGCAGTTTTGGCTGCATGTGGGTGATGGGAATCTTATTTTAAGAAAACAATTTCAATGTACAAATGAACATTCATTTACAACTTGGAATGTCATTACAAAATTAATTGGTCAAGCCTGTACACCATCTGTTAGACTTTAGGATATGGAAGAAAATATGTCTTAGTGTTTCTATAGATTGTGTGGGAGGAAAGATTTAAAATAATGGAATAATAACAACAACAACAACAACAACAACAACAACAACAACAGTAATAATAATAATAATCTGTAATGTAATTAAAGTCTGCAAAGTCTCTAATTTTTTAAGTTTTTTATTTTTTAATGCGTAGAATGAGTCCCTGACATTGCATCAGTGTAAATTGTTCCATAAAAGAATGGAGAGTCTTTGGTGACATTTAAATGTCTTTCCTATGTTTTAAAGACAAACACCAAAGACAACTTTAAATCTCAAGTACTTGTGCAATAAATTCCTCATGGATCTGCCCTTTATGGCATTTCAACAGCTTCTTAATCAGAAAAGGACACAGCAATTTACTTTGAACACAATATCTGAAATTGTCGAAAACAGAAATAGGCAAGCTGCTACCATCCAAGAATTTAAACTTCCATCAGCTACCATAGTCAATGATGGTGTAAAACAACCTTTATTGCCTCTTGTGGTCTTATGTCCAAGCAATACATACTTTTTTTTTTCTGAAGCTTTAGAAGGAGCCTCAGTGTCTCTCTAACAAAATTTCTTAAATGAAAAGGATAAAATAATCAAGATACAGAAAGTCAGACCTTTGATCCAATGACCTGAGAATGGTTTACAGTAATTCTCAAAGGTTTTAGAGAGAATCTTCCAAAATCCTGCTTAGAAATGCCAGAAGATTCAATATGAGCCATGTTGGATACAACAGAATCCTTTATCATTGAGTTATATAATAAAAAACAGAATTATTTTTCTTCTGTGACAACAAATGCAGAGTTTACGATTTGTATTGTGGATCAAAGTCTCCAGGTTGCTCATAAAAAAGACCAAGGAGAGACACTGATACAGGTAGTCCTTGACTTACAACCACAATTCAGCCTAGAATTGTGATGGTAAGTTGTTGTGATTGAAAATTGAGTCACATGTGACCGGATTCAATTTTACAGCTATTTTTACAGTGGTCATTAAATAAGTCACTGCTGTTGTTAAGCAAAGCATGTGAATGTAAAATGAATCATGTGGTCATAAATCTAAATCCAGCTTATCCAATGGGTGTTTTTTGGTGGATAATACAATCACATGACCATGGGATGCTGAAACCAGTTGTAAATATGAGCTGGTGACCAAGCACCCAAAATGTGATCATATAAGCTTGTGGGTGGTACAGCAGTCATAATTTGAGGATGGGTTGTAAGTAACTTTGTCTTAACTCTGTTATAATTTCAAACATTTGTTAAGTAACCAGTCATAAATGAAGGACTGTAATGAATTTCCATGCAAGAACTAGAGTCCTTTATTCCAACATTGCAAGCAAGTAATCAGTTTCTAAAAGAGTCCAGATTCTATGTTGGGATCTTGAAAATCTTCCTTCAAATGAGCCTATTCATTTAAGAAGTAGCTATTATCTATTCACTGCCCTTTCTGTGGTTACATTTGGCAAAGCATCCCCATAAATCTGTGCAACACACTAAAATAAATAACTTTATTTATAAATAGCTTTTGTTAGTCTCTTAATTTTTTTTAACATCACCTTTCAACCCAGAAGTATCCTCAAGATACTTTCCTTATTATACTATTATGCTATATTACAGTACACAGTAATTAACTATCAAGTTAAAATGTGCAGTTAAAATTATTCCATTCTTGTGTGTACTTAATATTATCTATTGAAAATAAACAAAAGCTCCCAATAGCCAATATCAGCAAGTAAGCCAATCTTTTAACTGAATTAAGAAATATAATTATTCCCCACCAAAAAAAAAAAGCTTCCTAAAACAAGAGGAGGGAGTTACTCTACTCTAGAGTTTCACAGAAAGATAATTAATTTGGGAGGGCTTGGACCTTGAGTCTTTTCATGGTTAATCCATACTAGTGCATACTATAAAAAGTGGTTTACCATTGCTACCTTCTTCCATATTTTTAGCCCCCTTGTCTTGCTACAGTCCTAGTATATCTTGATGGTGTTTCATCAAAGCAATAGCCAGATTTTATCCCACTTGGTTTTTCAAGAACCTCCAGTTCACCTAGATGCCACCAACATTTCTTTCAGATGTTCAGCGTGACAGTCCAGCTTGCTTTTTAAATGTTAAATGTCTACAATAGAATCATTTGCTTGTTTATTTGTTTATTATTTAATTGCGATAACAAGTGGTTGTGGACTGGCAGGGTCCGGCATACGATAGAGTTCAATATCACTTTTACCCTCAAAATGTCCTCCCTCCAAATTTGACAGTCTTATTAAAATTCTTTGAAACTTGCTCTGAAAATTATAACAGATGTTGTTCCGCAACAACCCTCTGGGGTCATTTCAATTTTAGCTTCAGGGAAATTTTGGTGACATTATTATCCCAAGATTGACTACTTTGCAATCTGTTATAAACTAAAAAAAAATTAATACACATTGATTTTAGAAATTATATTTCAGTAGATACACCTGTATACTTTCCAGGGTAAGAATATTGACACTGAATTGGGCTATTAGTGCTACCAAGTATCTACTGTTTACACCTATAATCTAAAATTTATAGGTAACAGATCAAAAAAGACTGTACTCCATCACAATTGTATTTTCTTTTATAACTTTTATTTCACAAGTATTATCTCTGTGTTCAAATCTGCTGGGTTTTTTTTCCCCTTGTATTCAACCAGAAGCTGAGGAACTTGTTTCTGTTGAATTTTTAAAGTTATTTATATAGTTGAATACCTAGGTGCACATGTATATACACACACATACACACTTACACTTCTTTTTTTTCCAGGCACATATCAGTTCATCTCTCTAGAGTCTGCACCACTTGGGACTTCACTTGGCAGAATAAAAGCCAATGACCCCGATGTGGGTGAAAATGCTGCAATTGAGTACAGCATTGCTGCCGGCGATGGATCTGACATGTTTGATATCATCACTGACAAGGACACACAAGAAGGGATTTTAACAGTCAAAAAGGTTTATTTTCCTCTCTGTCTTTTATTGGACTTAGCACTTCAGGTTTTAGATTTCCTTTTCCAGCTAGAGGATGGATCAGTTTTTATGAAAGGTCAACTGCAGAGAAACTAGCAGGTGTTAGCTTCAAAACTTCCTCATTCCTTCTTTCCTTCCTTCCTTCCCTCCCTCCCTCCTTCCTTCCTTTAATCTGTTCTCACTTGTCAGATGCATTGAAATTTGTGGACATGTAACTTTAGAAGTATTAATATGAAATTTCTATTGAACGTGTAAAAGAGGTTAAGGTAATTTTGCAAGGAGTATATGACAATTTTCTGTAGCCAACTCACCACAGCCAACTGACCATGGGACAACTTACTGTGGGACAAGAATTACACTAATATCAAAGAAATAATGAAATAGAATAATTCAAGAAAAGATGCAGAAGGAGGGAGAGAATGAAATGTACAGGTGAAACTCGAAAAATTAGAATATCGTGCAAAAGTTCATTTATTTCAGTAATGCAACTTAGAAGGTGAACCTAATATATGAGACAGACTCATTACATGAAAAGCAAGATAGTGCAAGCTGTGATTTGTCATAATTGTGATGATTGTGGCTTACAGCTCATGAAAACCCCAAATCCACAATCTCAGAAAATTAGAATATTGTGAAAAGGTTCAATATTCTAGGCTCAAAGTGTCCCACTCTATTCAGCTAATTAAGCCATAACACCTGCAAAGGGTTCCTGAGCCTTTAAATGGTCTTTCAGTCTGGTTCAGTAGGAATCACAATCATGGGAAAGACTGCTGACCTGACAGTTGTACAGAAAACCATCATTGACACCCTCCATAAGGAGGGAAAGCTTCAAAAGGTGATTGCAAACAAAGTTGGATGTTCCCAAAGTGTTGTATCAAAGCACATTAATAGAAAGTTATGTGGAAAGGAAAAGTGTGGAAGAAAAAGGTGCACAAGCAGCAGGGATGACCGCAGCCTGCAGAGGATTGTCAGGAAAAGGCTATTCAAAAGTGTTGGGGACTTTCACAAGGAGTGGACTGAGGCTGGAATCAGTGCATCAAGAGCCACCACACAGAGACGGATCCTGGACATGGGCTTCAAATGTCGTATTCCTCTTGTCAAGCTGCTCCTGAACAACAAAAAATGTCAGAAGCGTCTTACCTGGGCTAAAGAAAAACAGACCTGGTCTGTTGCTCAGTGGTTCAAAGTCCTCTTTTCTGATGAGAGCAACTTTTGCATCTCATTTGGAAACCAAGGACCCAGTGTCTGGAGGAAGAATGGAGAGGCACACGCTGCAAGATGCTTGAAGTCCAGTGTGAAGTTTCCACAGTCTGTGTTGATTTGGGGAGCCATGTCATCGGCTGGTGTTGGTCCACTGTGCTTCATTAAGTCCAGGGTCAATGCAGCCATCTACCAAGAGATTTTGGAGCATTTCATGCTTCCTTCCACAGACGAGATTTATGGGGATGCTGACTTTATTTTCCAGCTGCCCACACTGCCAAAAGCACCAAAACCTGGTTCAATGACCATGGGATTACTGTGCTTGATTGGCCAGCAAACTCACCTGACCTGAACCCCATAGACAATCTATGGGGCATTGCCAAAAGAAAGATGGGAGACATGAGACCGAACAATGCAGAAGAGCTGAAGGCTGCTATTGAAGCATCCTGGTCTTCCATAACACCTCAGCAGTGCCACAGGCTGATAGCTTCCATGCCACGCCGCATTGAGGCAGTAATTGCTGCAAAAGCGGCCCAAACCAAGTACTGAGTATATATGCATGCTTATACTTTTCAGAGGTCTGATATTGTTCTAGGGGGCGTGCATAAGCGCACCAACGTGCCTACCGTCCCTGTCCTATTGTTTCTCTTATTCTTTTATTTTTCTTATATGTACCCATTTCATGTATTCACAACTATGTATACACTTATACTTATTATCTTGTAAACAATTGGCAAATCAAATAAATAAATAAAAAAAAAATAAAAAAAATGTACAATCCTTGTTTTATTGATTGCATGTAATAGTCTAATCTTCTGAGATTGTGGATTTGGGGTTTTCATGAGCTGTAAACCATAATCATCTCAATTATGACAAATCACAGCTTGAATTATCTTGCTTTGCATGTAATGAGTCTATCTCATATATTAGTTTCATCTTTTAAGTTGCATTTCTGAAATAAATGAACTTTTGCACGATATTCTAATTTTTCGAGTTTCACCTGTAAATAACAAAAATTAAAATATTTTTTTTTAAATAATTAAATTGAGTTGTTTAAATTGTCCTGAGGCGAGTTGTCCCATGGCAAGGTGACTCTGATGAGTTGATCATGGCAAGTTGGCTATAGTGAGTTGGCTGTAGTGAATTGATCCATTGCACTTTCCAAGCTGGCTGACTAGCTGAAGTCTACTATTTGGTATACTACCAAAGGCTGGAAATATCCAAATGTTTATGTAGTATCCTGAAAATAGATGCAAAGGAAGTCCAGTTTCTAATGATGTATTTGCCTCCCCACCCAGAGCACTTATTTCATTGAGTTCTGTAAAGATAATCTTACAAGATAATAGGTATAAGTAAAAACATAGTTATGAATACATGGATACATATAAGAAAAATAAAAAATAAAAGAAACAATAGGACAGGGCTTATGCATGCCCTTATGCATGCCCATGCATGCCCCCTACAGACATCTTACAAAAGGGTGAGGTCAATAGTAGACAGTCTAAGGTTAAAGTTTTGGGGGTTTGGGGAAGAAACCACAGAGTCAGGTAGAGTATTCCAGACATTGACCACTCTGTTGCTGAAGTCGTATTACCTGCAATCAAGTTTGGTGCGATTAACCTTGAGGTTCTATCTATTGTTTTCTCTTGTGTTGTTATGATTGAAGCTGAAGTATTCATTGACAGGTAGGACATTGCAATGTATGATTTTATATACTGTACTTGATCGGACCGAAGGCGGCGTAGTTCAAGGTTTTCTAGGTCTAGAATTTCAAGTCTGGTGGCATAAGGTATTCTGCAACGAGTAGAGGTGTGGAGAACTCTTCTTGGGAAATATTTCTGGACTTTCTCAATTGTGTTAATATCAGATACGTAAAGTTGGTTCCAAACTGATGAGCTGTATTCAAGTATTGGTCTTGCAAATGTTTTGTATACTCTAGTTATTAGTGTAATATTACCAGAGAAAAAGCTACGTAAGATTAGGTTAACAAACTCTTAATGCCTTTTTGGCTATGTAGTTACAGTGGGCTCTAGCACTTAGATCATTAGAGATGAGTACTCCAAGATCCTTGACAGAGTTTGGATCATCAACAAGGTCTTGACTATTCAGCTTGTATTTTATATTCTGAATTTTTTTGCCAATATGTAAGATAGAGCATTTATTTGTTGAGATTTGAAGTTGCCATTTGTTTGACCATTCTGATACATAGTCAAGATCTTTTTGAAGGGTAGCAGTATTGTCTGTGGTATTGAACAGCTTTACATCATCAGCAAAGAGAACACATTTGCTCTTAATGTGATCACAGAGGTCATTTATGTAGAGTATGAAGAGAGTTGGTCCTAGAACACTGCCTTTGGGGACACCACTATTGACAGGTACAGAATTTGATAGGACACTCCCAATTTTGACCATTTGTTGTCTGTTTGACAGGAATGCTTCTATCCAGTTATGCAGTTGACCAGAGACACCATAAGATTTCAGTTTTAGGAATAGTTTGTTGTGTACCACTGAATCAAAGGCTTTACAGAAGTCTATGTAGATTGCGTCTATTGTTTTGCCCTGATTGAATTGTGTAGTCCATATGTTTTTGCAGTGTAAGAGTTGCAGATTACATGATAGTTTTTTCCTGAAACCAAATTTTCTGAAGTTTTTGAAGTTTCCACTTGAAAACTTATGAGTTTTTGAGATGTCTTTTTATGGTGTCTGCCATACATTATGTCAGCTCTGTTTAAGTAAATGGGGAAATCAGCTGCAGGCCAAGAAATTTATTGGATAAATTAGAGTTCCAATAAGGAATTGCTGGCTCTGGACATCTGCTTCACATATCTCTTGATGGCCCATCCACCAGTAGCAGATGGTCTTTATCCAAAAATAATATTTAAAAAGAGAGAAGATTCGTTTGTATGCTGATCTGCAAATATATGCTGTAGTTATCCCGAGTGTCAAAGGTTAGGCACAATCTGCGTTTGGAATGGTGTATATACTGTATGTGTGTTTGTACATAAAATTACATAGATATTATAAACTTTGGATGCTTTCTTCTGTAAAACTAGTATAGTTCAGGAACAGCTTCAGTAGCACTTCGGATCAAGATTAATATTACTTCTAGGCTATGACAGAAATAAGAACTATGAAATAGTTTATTGACATTTTTTTGGTTGACATATCTTTTCCCATCTCTTTCATATTATTAACGAGGACAATATTGCACTATAACAAATCAGGATAGCGTTATAACAGCATGAGAATGGAATGAGAGCATTCTTATTTTAGTTTCAATCATGTCTTTCATATGAATTATGTCCCTCAAGAAAAAGCCTGAATAGATAATTTTAGTAGAAAAAAATATCTTTTTTATCTTTATCAGGTCTTTTGTACAGGGGCAAATTTATTTTGGTGGAGCCTTTTCCATTTTTAATTCCCTACAATTTGTCATTTTACCTAAGGTAAGCTTCAAGATAATTTAAACCAGAGGTAGGAAATCTGTCTTCCTGATATTTTGGTCTCTCGTAGTTAATTGCTATTAGTAATAATCAGCAGACTGATGGAAGTTAATGTCCAAAATATCTGCAAAGAATTAGATTGACTATTTGTTATTAAAGGGTAGTTAATTCAAAAAACCCTGCAACATGGTTTACATTGAACTTAATCCATTAACTCTTTCTCCATAAATTTGTTTTGAACTTCCAACCTCATTCCTTTTCTCAACATGACCAAATAATCCCAATGAATATCAGTCCATTTTGTGTGCAGCACCACATTCATACAGTGCCCAGTCATTCTTGATTAGTCTTCTTGTTTCACTACACATATTTCTTAGGTACCCAAGTCTCATTGTCACTCCAGTTCACTTCATTTGTTTCCATTGCCATTCTTCTCCTCAGGATCCATTTTTGGCCCTACCGAACAATGATCTGCCTTATATTCAATATATCTCATCATTCTGGTAACCTTCAATAATTCTCTCAGTCTTTCTTATAAACCAACCAGTCATGTTTTTAATTTGCATCCATTCCTTTACCATGTCAGCATATGAAAAGACTTGCACTTAAACCATCTATTTAAAACAAGTGAACCATTTTTGAAGCAGTTAATCACCAAGAAGTCAGTATCCCGATGCATTGTTGGTTCTTCAAATGGTCCATTCATTTTTTCTTCATTGTCTTGTCTCATCCTTAGCTAGCTTTTTGCCACCTAACAGAATATTTTCATTCTGTTCTGCATTAATTTAAAATGTTGTACAATTTATCTTCCCCCAAGTCATCACTGCTTCTTACAATATTACAATTCTCTGTAATCTAATATATAAGTATCACTAACCTATGGTTTCCTATTTTTCTCATACATACACAACAATGTTCAGCAACAATTCCTACTTCCTGGATTATTTCTTCTAAATTTAATTTATATCTTCATTTCCATGCTATGATTTGTTAGTTCCATTCCAGAAAATTCAACCACCTCAACAGCAGTGTGTTTTATGTTTCCATTTTCTCTTGATTTCAGTGTCATAAAACTTTTCTATTATCTTTCTTTTAGTGCATCCATCAGTTCATACTATTTATCATTTATTCCCTTTATATTCCAAGTCATAATCTTCCATATGATATGGCCATTCCTAAATGGCCTGTGGATATTGACTTATGTTGCCCACCATGACTTTGATCAATCAAAACTTTCATATAAAACTTTTTCCAAGTATCACCCTTAGTTACACATGTATTATATGGCATATTTCCTGCTAACTGAAGGGTAATACTTTCAAATCTCAGTCCATTGTAGCCAGTATGACTTATTGTAACAAAATCCAGATTTACCCCAAGCATGCATGCATGCATTTAATTTATACATCCTACAATCCGCTACAAGATGTTTATCTTATTCAGTATGAGCTATGATAGTTAACCATGACAGTCAATATTCAGTTGCCCATATTTCACCTATCTACTAGCACATACTCTTCAGCATCTAGTGATTTGATTTTTAAATTTAAGGTTGTAAAAAAAAGTATGTTACTTATATTTCAGTATATCCTTAGAGAAACTGCTGAGTCGAGATTAATATGAAATGGTTTTTGAACAATTTATACCAAAGAAGAACAATTTCTGGCTGACCTGTATTTAGCATTCATTTTTGAAAGGCTCCTTTGAAATAAGTGTAATTCTGATTCGCCCAAATCAACAGCAATTTAACCATTGATCTCATCGAGATGCAGATTGAACCTAATGATTCATGCCAAATGTAGCATCTTTCAGAACTTTTGAAATGAAACACTGATTTGTATTGATTGATAGAGCAAGCCCAGAATGATATAGCACTGCAACAGACAAAGTTCAATAGATAAAGAAACTGCATTGTTTCAAAGTTACAAATACAGTCACAAACTCTCTTCTGTTGTTTTCAATGGAACTGATTGTTAAATAACTATACAGATTGCATATGAGCTTGGGATGGTCATGTACGCTTTGTATGGTATGTTATCTTACTTATTTATACTGACAATTGAAAGACAAGACCATTTAAATTTGGTTGTACATGAGCCGACACTTCCTATCTGAAAATAGAATATGATTCACTGCTCTGCTTTGAAATTTGAGGCATGGCATCTTTTTTAATAGTGTTAGCTGCCAGTAATAGAATAACCCAAAAATGGGATGAAATAGAATGTTAATTTATAAGAGTTTCATTTTCCATGTTATTTTTTTTACTGAAACTCTATATTTTCTTATTTAAAGGAGCAATTTTTCAAATGAATTTTTAAAATTATTTTTCCAACCATATTAACACACACTAAAAATAAAAGACGATTAAAGTACTAGATGTTTAAATTATACCAAGTATTTATCAAGTTGTTTTTAAAAAACTGGAAAAGCATTTGCAGAATGCTAAAAGGATGCCATTAAAATAATTTTTAAAAATCATTCAAATGATGGAAGGTACATGATTGAGTACAGAAAATATAAATCTAAGTATTTGAAAAAGGTATTAAGAATGTAATCCTAAGTAAAATTCATTGAGTTCAGTGAAACAGACAAATATATACAACAGATGTTATTTTCAAGTCAAATTCCATTTCCTCAGTTTTTCTGTTTTAAATAAATGAATTTTTCCTGGTTCATTAAACCTTACAAGATTTCCACAATCTTCCTTTTCCCAAGATCTCATATGTCATAGTTTGAAATCTCTTAAAATGGTTTATGTAATCTGACATTTATGACAGTTACTGTCAGATTGCTAAGAATGGTGACATGATTGATGCTGTGAGATTTGGCATAATTTTAAATTGACTTTAATTTGGGGGATTACAGTGCTAACCTCTCATGTATAGAATTGCAGCACAACTCAGAAGACATTTTTTTCCAAAACTGCTTAATGCTTTATTTATTTATTTTAAAAAAATACTTAGGTAATTATTATTTTTTCTCCCTTTCTCTCTTACCTTCCATATTTGGATACAAGCAATTAGATTTTGAAAAGAAGAATCAATATAACCTAAAAGTAGAAGCGACTAACATTCATCCTGACCCACGATTTTTCTACTTGGGACCATTTAGAGACTCAGCTTTGGTCAAAGTTTATGTGGAAGATGTAGATGAGCCACCTGTTTTTAATTTACCATCACATTTAATAGAAGTTGATGAAGATGTCAAAGAAGGCAGTATCATTGGGCAAGTAATAGCCCAGGATCCAGATGCAACAAATAACCTAATCAAGTAAGTTATCTTCCATAAATATCAGAAAAGACTACATTGAAAGTATGTGCTTTGGTTTTTGGAAACTTTTGTGTTTAATACTGGCAATAAACTATTAAATATAACTGGAGATGGTTATTAATTTCATTAAGGATAGGTTTACATTCCTACTATTGGTAGCATTAGACTTTTAAATATTACATTAATATCCAAGTCTGGACCCATCCCAATTTTCAAACTTCAACTTCTATTCATGTTTTCCAGAAAATAGTTCTCAGCCTAGCTTGTTCAAATTCAATATGATTTATCAAGTAATTTTGAGCCACTCACAAATTTTCAACCTAACTTTTCTTGCAGGGTCATTTAAAAGATAAATGAAGGATGTTCCTCATCCCACACCACTCTAATTTCTTAGGAAGTAACAGACTATAAGTATAATTATGTCATAGTTTTTTTAAACAATAAAGGGATTTTAGAAATAAATTCATGCTAACTTCAGTCCATATTGTGCTCGTACTAGTACTTGGCCCAAAGTAATTAATAACTAAAATAATTATTGACTGCAATGGAGCATCAGAAAGACTGTTTTGGTATAATAGAGTTGTTAATTATCTGTCTGTCTGTCTGTCTGTCTGTCTATATCTACCTACCTACCTACCTACCTACCTACCTACCTACCTACCTACTTGCTAAATTATCAGCTCTTCTAAGAGAAACATTACTGAATAAATTCATTTACAATTGGAAGCTTTTGTAGATTTTTTTGTCGGAAATGAGGAAAAAAATCAAGCTATGACATTTATTTATTTATTTATTTTGATTTATTTATTTTGATTTGTCAATCGCTTACAAGATAATAGGTATAAGTATATACATAGTTATGAATATATGAAATGGGTACATATAAGAAAAATAAAAGAAACAATAGGACAGGGATGGTAGGCACGTTGGTGCGCTTATGCACGCCCCCTACAGACATCTTACGAAAGGGTGAGGTCAATAGTAGACAGTCTAAGATTAAAGTTTTTGGGGTTTGGGAAGAAACCAGAGTCAGCTAGAGTATTCCAGACATTGACCACTCTGTTGCTGAAGTCATATTTCCTGCAATCAAGTTTGGTGCGGTTAACCTTGAGTTTGTATCTATTTTGTGCTCTTGTGTTGTTATGGTTGAAGCTGAAGTATTCATTGACAGGTAAGTCATTGCAATGTATGATTTTATATACCATACTTAGATCAGACCAAAGACAGTGTAATTCAAGGTTTTCTAGCTCTAGAATTTTAAGTCTGGTGGCATAAGGTATTCTACAATGAGTAGAGGTATGGAGAACTCTTCTTGTGAAATATTTCTGGACTTTCTCAACTGTGCTAATATCAGATACATAATGTGGGTTCCAGACTGATGAGCTGTGTTCGAGTTTTCGTCTAGCAAATGGTTAGTAGTGTGATATTACCAGAGAAAAAGCTATGTAGGATTAGGTTAACAACTCTTAATGCCTTTTTGGCTATGTAGTTACAGTGGGCTCTAGCACTTAGATCATTAGAGATGAGTACTCCAAGATCCTTGACAGAGTTTGGATCATCAACAAGGTCTTGACTATTCAGCTTGTATTTTATATTCTGAATTTTTTTTGCCAATATGTAAGATAGAGCATTTATTTGTTGAGATTTGAAGTTGCCATTTGTTTGACCATTCTGATACATAGTCAAGATCTTTTTGAAGGGTAGCAGTATTGTCTGTGGTATTGAACAGCTTTACATCATCAGCAAAGAGAACGCATTTGTTCTTAATGTGATCACAGAGGTCATTTATGTAGAGTAAGAAGAGAGTTGGTCCTAGAACACTGCCTTGGGGGACACCACTATTGACAGGTACAGAATTTGATAGGACACTCCCAATTTTGACCATTTGTTGTCTGTTTGACAGGAATGCTTCTATCCAGTTATGCAGTTGACCAGAGACACCATAAGATTTCAGTTTTAGGAGTAGTTTGTTGTGTACCACTGAATCAAAGGCTTTACAGAAATCTATGTAGATTGTGTCTATTCTTTTGCCCTGATCGAGTTGTGTAGTCCATATGTTTTTGCAGTGTAAGAGTTGCATATTACAGGATAGTTTTTTTTTCTGAAATCAAATTGTTTATTAGAGAGTAGGTTGTTTGTCTCTAAGTGGAGGATGATGGATTGGTTAATAATTGATTCCATGACTTTACAGGTGGCACAGCATAAGGAGATTGGTCTGTAATTTTCAACTAGGCTGGGGTCTCCCTTTTTGAAGATGGGGATGACCGTGGCTTGTGACCATAGATTAGGCAAGGACCTGGTCCTGAAAGATTTTTCAAAGATTATGCTTAGAGGTTCTGCTGTGGTAGTGGATAGCTTTTTTAAGAAGTAGGCACATATTCCGTCCGGAATATCTCTATCCAATAGATAGAGATGGTTTTAGATTGTGTAGTGCTTTTTCAACATTGTCTTCTGTAAAATTGATATGTATTAGATCAGTGATCCCCAACCTTTTTGACGCCGCGGCCCGGTACCGGCATCAGCTGGGCGCCGCGGCCCGGTACTGGCATCAGCTGAGCGCCGCCATCTTTTTTTGATGAAAACATGCTTCCGGTGAGCTTTCTACCCGGAAAAGCTCACCGGAAGCGCACTTTCTATGCACTTTTTCCACCGGCACTCTTGTTGAATGTGATAATTGTTGCATTCAGTCTTTATCTGGTGGCATACATTTTTGTATCAGATTTTGAACTTGGCAACGTGACCAAATTTGTTTTTCCGCCAGAGTGATCTCTTTTTGGATTGAAGTTTCCTTATTGTTATGGGTAATCTGTTTTTTTGTTTTGTTTTGGGAGTTGTTATTGGTACATATAGTTTGATGACTCTTTTGACTTCAAGTAAAAATATGTTGTAATGGTCTTTAACAGTATTGCATCCATTGAATAGAAATTGCCAATTAAGGGATGCGAGATCATTGTCTATAAGATCATAGTTGCCTTTTTTGAAGTTATAATTGGGGATTACATCATTGTGATGATTTTTGTGTGGGCATATGTTGAAACAACAGTCAATCATATTGTGGTCACTGTTGGAAAATGGTTCTTTAGTTTGTATTCCGTAAATTAAATTCAAACTATTGCAGAAGATGAGATCGAGGCAGTTGTTAAGTCTAGTATTGTTGGTTACTAGTTGTTCCAGTCCCAGATTTGTAACAGCACTGTAGAAGGTTGCATGTATGGGTTCAGTTGTTTAGGGTCCAGTTAATAGATTGAAGTCACCAAGAAAGATAAAAGTGTGTGGGCAGGATGTTGCCCGTGTTAGTAGTGAAGTTAGCTTGTTTACATGTTCAATGTCATAATCAGGTGTTCTGTAACATAGGAAGAATAGGAATGTGATATATAAGGATAGTTCACAGATGATGGTCTCAGGAAGAGCAAGTTCCTGGGTAACTTGGATGTTTTTTAGATATAAGGACTTTTTATAGAAGATAGCAACACCACCTCCTCTATGGATTTCATGATCTGATTGGTAAACATGATAGTCAAGAGACTGTGGTAATGGAGTCAAGGAGAGATGCGTTGAGCCATGTTTCACAGACAAATATGATGTCGAATTTAGCCATATTTATTTATGGCTAAATAAATTTAGCCAAGAGGAGAAATTCAGGTATTTTATTCACAAGGCTTCTTGCATTGAGTAGCTTGCATTTAAGGCCAGCTGTAGTTGGAATTGAGGTAGTTAGGGGAGTGTGTGCCTAGACTTGGGTGATGGTGGATTGGTTGAAGTAGGGTTGTGGTTGAAGGTTAAAGCTGAGTTGCAGGTTGTGTGACTTCCTTTTGATACAGTCAGCACAGTAGTCAATGTACAGGTCCTTCTCTCCATTGTCTAGACATTTTTTGAGTTCTGTGCGGAGTACACGGCATCGGGCATGTTGCTGTATGGTTAGGTCAGGGTGAGAACAGAGGTTCTTATGGTTGGTGTTGCTTTTGGCAAGTGAATTTATAGTATAAATGAATTTATGTTTGCTTGATTCATTTTTGAAAATGAACCTACAGAAGTGTGGGGCCACAGAGCCGTCTCTGTTTTTGAGCTCTCGGCCAATGCAGGAAATGTCAAGTATTTCATCAGGGGAGATGGTTGATGCTTGATAATCACTGATGATGTTTCGGACAGTTGTGATGTCATCATTGTCATTGATGTCCTCTAGACCAAATAAGATGGCCTTTTGACATTTCTGTTTGCACTCAACAGCTTCACTGATGAGGATTGGGGTATTATTATTTGTTTGATTTATGTTTTTTTGTGGATTGGGTTGTGGTTGTTGGGTAGAGATGTGGTTTGTAGCTATTGGATGTTCAGGTTTTTGCGTTGTGTCTTGGATAATCTTTCTTTTAAAGCATCCAGGGATACTACTATGGTGTCAAGGGATGTTATTCGTGTTTCTATGGTATCAACTCTTTCAAACAGATCCAGTTTGGGTCTGCATGATTTGCAGAGGTATGGAAACTCATTGGATGATTCTAGGAATTGAATCATTTGCTCGGGTAATCCCAAGCAGTCATGATGAGAGTATTTGTTACATAGAGAACATTTGATGGAATTTTCATTATCCTTTAGAGTTTTATAGCATTTAAGGCATGTGCAGGAGTCTTGTGGTTCATTGGTGGGGATTACTTTCTCTTTAGGTTTTGGTTTGGCATTGGATTTTTTTTCTTGGCATGGTAGGTTTGTTAAGATGGTATGTTGATTAAATTACTTAATGAAACAATTTTATAGGAAGTTGATTATTGTTAAAACTTACTAATTTTTTTGAGACAATGGTAGTCCTTGACTTACAACAGTCCGTGTAGTGACTGTTCAAAGTTGCAATGGCACTGAAAAAAAGTGACTTATGGCTCTTTTTCACACTTGCAACCATTGTTAGCATCCCCCTGGTCTTGTGATCAAATTTTAGATACTTGGCAACTGACTAATATTTATGGTGGTTGCAGTGTTCTTCTGTGATGACCTAGAGTGCAAAACAA